CACAATGATGAGAAGCAGCAGAGGAAGGACCAACTTGCCGCCAGCGATCGGGGCATGGCTGCCGTCGAGGAGGCGGTAATCGAGACATGGGCAAAACTGCATTGAAGCCCGAAGGGTTCAAGGTTCGCAGCCGTCGGACCCAGAAACCCTCTCTAGGTGACGCCGCCAGCCGAAAGAGGGCATGATCAATCTCACCTCGATCAGTAATGTAGAGCGCACGATCAATACATTCAAGCGGCCAAACAGCAAAATTGAAGGGAGACTGTTGTCGCATGACGTGATAGAGGTGCCGATGACGATAATCAACAGCAGTATGTCGCACATGCCAGTGCTCCTTCAAACGTTGATGAGCAGTATGGATTGTCTGGCCAACATAGAGACGCCCAGAGGGTATATGCACAACAGCATAAACAACTCACACATCTAGATGTGTATAAGAGACAGTATGTAGACAGCGCAATTGCTTTTTATGCCACGTTCCCGCGGAATACAAATCAGTATTCCAGCGATAATGGGCAAGCCAGTCAACGCSTTGCCGGTTAGAGAAAGGGGGATTGTGGCCCCGTGAACGAAGAGAAGGAAGCGGTGCTGTGCCTGTCGCSCCACCAACAGGAAGAGTCCCGAATGAACTAACCCCCTGATTTATCTGTAATGGTAACGACATGTTTTTGTTAAAGAGAATTATGAACGTTTTTTTAATTTTTGAGTTTTGAATTTTTTTGTTTTTTATATATATATATGAGTCGGTGAAACTCCGACGAAACAGTTTGTCACAGCCCCTCGTTTGATGTCCTCTTCTCCCTCTCTGCCTACGGTTTACCGGGCAGTTCTATTTGACGATATATATATATATTGTCACAAGAATATCAGAGCGCAAATGCGAAAGAAAAAAAGAAAGAAAAAAAGAAAGAAAAACAAGAAAGAAAAACAAGAAAAAATGAATTCAGTTTCTTATCTTCTTCCTTATATTCTTCTTTTCAATGTACCGACCGTTTTTTTTTTTTTTTTTTTTTTTTTTTTTTTTTTTTTTTTGTACATAGCTGTATTTGTTGGCCAACTTGCAGTCTATAGAAGCAATGATAACGACCATTCGTTCTATACGGCGAGAGAGGGCAGTCACAGAAAAAAATCTTTAGTCATTCATCCACAGTGAATAGCAAATCGGCCAGCATCCTATGACAGAATAGTCCACCAAATGTCGGTCATGAGGGGCTGGTGATGTGCCCCCGGGGGTACTTCGAAGTCTCTCTCCATTACCTACTTTTACTTTACTTCTACAAGCCACTTGTGTCGTGTGTTATTCCCGTTCGATTCTTTTTTTCCCTTTTTTTTTTATATAATAATATTTTGGCCCATTTTTCCATTTCTGTCGGTGTCAACCTTGAAAGCGCAGGGACTATTGCAACTCCCGGGATTGATTGTCGGTACCGTTCCAAAACTTCGATGGATTGATTGTCCCAAATGAAGGACATGACTTGTTCTTCTCCGCC